TGTCCCACTCCCTCACTCACAGAGACCTTCATTCTTTTTATATTGTTTGAGGAGTGGTGGATATTTTCTGTACCTTTCCGTGGATCTATTTGAAGGCTTTCCAAATTATATTCCTGGTGTTAATTTTATTTATGTATCATTTACGTGCCAGGAAGAGAAAAGAGAAGTGTTAGAAAGTTAACTTCTTTTTTTCCATGAATTACAGGAAACTTCTTAGAGAAATGGTTGAAAATTTTCAATTAAAAGGACTTTTTTTTTAATTATAAAGAATTAAAAGACTTCTTTCAAATTAATTCTGCAAAATATGTAGGGAATTTGAAGGAAGACTTACCTTGGAAACCAATCAAAGCGAGAGAATAGTTTTTCATTCTTTTTTTTTTCTTTAGCACATCACTTTCAGAAACTTTCTTGACATCCAATTAAATTGTTACTGATTCTGTTGATTATATTGCAGGCCATGATGTATGTACTTTGCTTTCGCATGAGATCAATGCTTGCTATTCCTCGCATCAGATCACGTATATCAAAGCACATAGAGGATATCCTGAGGCATCCATTGAGCCCATTAGTGGTAATGTGTTCATTTTCTATTATGACTCTTAAGTTTCTTTTTATTTTGTATTTTCTCTCTTTTTATTTTTTATTATTATTTCATTCTGAAAGAATAAATGCCTGGCAAGCTTTAGACAACATAGGAAAAAAGGGGAAAAAAGGGTCATTGAGGATTCATATAACTGTCCCCAACTTGTTTTGGTCTTAGGTGTTCGTTGTTGTAAGCTTCGATAACATAAGAAAAATTAAAAAATTGACATGGTAAATGTTTATAAATACAGGTACCAAGAAGGTACAAACACAGCAGACTAAACTGAACCAGAAAAAAACTACATATGCCCTATATCTTCTAAGAAATCTAAATACTCATCCATGTTTTTCATAACACTCTTTTACACCAAAAGAATATATTCAAAAGACATCTATTTTTGATCCTGGATGAATGTTGTTTAGTCCCTTTACAGCAAACTCTGGTTCTCTCCTGCCATATTGTCCATAAGACAGGTACGGGAATTGTTCTCTGTAGTGACTGCTGACTTTAACCATTGTTTGATGTTGCCGTGTCTCCAGTAGACTCCTTACATTTGGTGGCATAACCCAATTAATATTGTACCTGTTAAGGGATAGCTCCCAACACTGCCTTGCCACTTTGCAATGAATGAGACGATGATTGTCTGTTTCTAACTCGTCTTCATACATGTAGCATCTCTTACTTAAAAATAATATGTCTTCAGTAAATTTATCCTGTGTTAGACAAACTTCCTTTGCTGCCCCCACCCAAAGCATATGCTACTTTGACAGGTCTACGAGTAGAATTCAGCTACCTTTCCATTCTTCTTAGTGGAGCATCCAAATAGCATTGAAAATTTGGACTTGAAGCTTAAGGATATTTCTACCATTCTCCAGCTTCAGCTTTACAAGTTAACTGTATTCATTCCACAAACTTCTAACAGTTCCCCAGACCCCCCCGCCTGGATGATGATTGGACTGTAGGAGTCCAAAGATCTTTCCTACCATATTTGGCATTTATGAGATGTTTCCATAAACTGTTATTCTCATCATTATACCTCTGAAGCCACTTAAGAAAGAGAAACTTGAGTGAGATTATGTGGTTTGATAGAGGTACAGTGCTTAAATGCAGACACACAATTTTATAGAAGGTTCAGTGTTCGGTGTATCTGGACTGAAAGGAACCGTAGACATTTTGATTGAATAGCAACTGCTAATCAGTCTCAAGACTGAACGTCTTATAATTTTGTATAGCTGGAGTAATTTGTTCCTTGTAAACTCCCCAGAAGCTTTTTGGGATTTGTTAGCTCCTTATCTTTAGTATGGGCTCACTGTAATGGAGCTAACAAACTCACTTTTGTTCTATTTGCATCTGCTTGATGCCTTTTTGATGAAATAACTTCATCTAAAAAAAATGGTTCGATGTTTAGGGAAATGACTAGGTGCATATGTATCAGAAAACCAAGATAGGGGATAAAAATAGTGGACAAGATCTTTTTATATCTCATAGATACCCTAGTGGAATAGGCTACAACCATTTTTGGGGATCTAGCTTTGTATGATATCTTGTTGTGTACCAATAATATATTTCCATTTTTGAAAAAAAGGAGGTGGGGGTGATACAGGACTGCGATGCAATTCGTAGAAGGATTTTTTCAAAGGGAGAGAAATTCCATAGTCTAGCTCGTAAGAAATTGAATGTTAGCTTTGAAGGCCTGACTAATAGGATGAGTTGCAGATGTTACAATGATGGATGCACGGTAATTCATGATTAGGCAAGACTAGCAATGATTTTCTTTAACAAAAGACAGAGATTGACTGAGATGGTTTAAACATCCCCGTTTTCACCTCCAAATACATTGATTCGTGTGCATCATTATGATGATTAAAGGTGTTAACTCAAAGCATGTAGAGGAAAATTTTACTGAGAATGCATGTGGATTAGCGAACAACAGAACATAGTGGAAGCTAAGTATTCATAGAGCTGATACCAACTAGGTGATATCAAGGTATATGGTCATTGGTTCCATCTGCATTAGGTCGGTGTTTGAAAGGGCTCTTATAAGATTTTGGTTAGATATTTAAGTTAGTGTCGGAATAAACATGAGATTTAAAAAATCTCTTATTTTAGAGGACCCTCCAAAGACAAATAATTGAGTGTTGGTGAAACGGGCCCAGATAAAGTGGAGGAGTTGATAGCCAATCCCAAAGTGGGATTAAGGGGTAGTTGTTATTGTTTAAAAGTTCCTTATGTTTTTTCTTTGATATTAGTGGACTCAAATGAGAACTCATCCAAGGCTTGGATGTGCTTCTGTTAGTGGATTCTCTACTTCTTTGTTAACTCTAGTGTCCAATGAATATTTTGTCAACAGGTATGCTTGCCATCAATAGTGGAAGAATTTCTTCGGTTGGCAAAAGTGACTCATCTTGATGTGCCGGATAACTTTGTATCAAGTAACCTGCTTGAGTCAGAACTTTCAATGGCTTTTGGTGGTAGAGAGAGGCTTGACACGTTTTTTCCATTTGATCCATGTTTGCTAATGAAATCTGACAGGTTTGTTTCTTTATTGGCATTTTTTGACTTCTCTTGTTCATTTTAATTGGCTGGTTGGATATTGAAGCTCCTTGCTTACCTCAGAGTGAAAATTTCCTGGTGATTCTTCTATTAATTAGTGGGTAATTTTGTCTCATGTTGCCATATTTTTTTGGAAGATTCATCCGGCCAAATTTTGTGTACTGGTCAATGGTTCGGAGCTCTTATGACAACGATGATGATGATGATGAGGGTACTAGTGATGAAGACGATATTGAAATCTGTACAGCAGGGAACGGGATAAATATACCTATTGATGGAGCTGCCCGAAGTTATGATCAGGATCTCGATGAATTTGGTAATAAAATGAGCAAAATGTCCATAACACCTAAAGTTGGTCAATGGGGGGAATTACAATCCGGCATGCGGATGCCTTCAAGTTTGCGACCTTGCCCTGATTCCTTGTAGAGATTGATCTGCACCGTTTGATGACCTTGAAAGAGGGAATGCTTGCCCTTCCATGGCAAAGAGTCGTACCATGTCATGAAGAGTTGAAAATGCTTGTCCTGATCCGTGGTTGGTTATGGCAAGACACTCAGATTATGTGATATCCATTGTATCCTAGATTCATGAGAGGCCTTCACTCCTGCCTGAATACATCCCGCGAGATGTTAGAGGTCACGTTTTGTATTCACAGCTAAAGTTATTTGTAATATTTAGCAATAGTTGGTTTGATGATGAGAACTAAATGTGGAAACACTCAAATTCTCTTGTATTTTCTTGTTGGTGTTAATATATTATGGTGCTATATGCCCAATATAAGAGTATATTTTAAATGTATCGAAGGGTGCAATACCATACTATACTTCAAGAGGATTTTAATTAGGTGAAATGGCCTTTTAAGAGAGAGACCCTGTACTTGTTTCAGATTGTTTTCCCAATATCTAAGGTTTAATCATGTTTAAAATAGGTATTTGGTGCATGAATTAATTTTTTTTATTAAAATAAAAATGGATAAAAGAAAAAGAAAAAACATAACCCCCCACCCCTCTTTTCTCTTGAGTTTTCTTCAAATTTTTATTTCTCTTTCTGAAAGGTTATTGATTTTCTTGATTATAAGGGAAAAAAAGGTTGTTAATGGAGGTGATTTCGCCCCTGGTGAAGGAGCAATGGCAATTGGTGTGTGGCTTCGAAGATGGGAGGAGGGTTTTCCTTTAATTTTATATTTTGCTTTGCTATTTTTATTTTTTATTTACGAAATTAGAACTATGTTAAAATAATGTGAAAATTAAATAGTCATATAATCCGATTTGGATGCTGATTTGTCATTCACGTCAAGCAAGTTAGCATAATATGAATTTGGGGGTTTAAAGTACCCGTTTTGAACATGTTGAGGGAGCTAGTGGAGTAGGAAATGACAAATGTCTTCTAGGTCATTAATGGACTTTTTATGCAAGAACTTTGTTCATTATGTAAATCCCAACTAAAGCAAAGTAGCAATATATGACACGTAATGATAGCATTATGCTCTTTATAGCAATAAACCACAATTAACCTGGAATAACGAAATACTAGTAAATAGTGCCAAGTAAGGAATGAAGAAGCTGTAAAGTAAAACTAGAATTTAGACTCTAATGTTTCTGTGCATAAATCTGAAAAAGGATGTCATATTTGCACAAAAAAGATAACTGCCCAGCAATGGACCTAAAGTATCCATCCAAATTGCTCAAAAATAAGGGCAAATGTTACAATATCAAACGAACATGAATTGCTAAGCTGCAGAATCCATTCTCACATCACACAGGTATTATCAACATGAAACATAACAAGAGAAACATTCCTTTTCCAAGCAAGGGTTGAGGGAAGGTATTATCAACAAGAGAAGCATTCTTTTTAAAAGGTTCTTTCATTTCCAGGGCAGCTGACCCTTAACTCCAGGAGAGCTTCTCTTCTTCCTAGTTTCATCAGGCGGACTATCAGGCCCACTTACTGACATAGCACTTCTGGATGCTGATGCTCCAGAAGCTAGTGTGTCTGACTTCAGCGGCTTCTGTTTCTGTGTGCTGAAGCTACCAACAATAACCTGCGCACAAAGTAACAAGGGGTAAGGCTCCCATAGGCGGACCTAGGATTTGAATATAAGGACAGTTTCTATGTCAAACCTGAACAGCAGTTGCTGCTGTAAGGAGCCCTGCCACACTGCCCCCCCAAATATTACCATCTGCTTCACCACCAAATAGCACAGTCAAGCCACCTTCTGTGCTGCATTCACCACCAGATTCCAAGACAAAGAAGGAACCAGACAGATTAATGATCTGGAACAGTCCCTGCACCAGTTAACCAACAATTTTTTATACTATCATGTGATGGTGTACTGAATTATATCCAGCCAAAAAGTTTGATACATTTGATCGAGGGGTTACATACTAGGACATAAATGATAAAATCTAAGGTAGATCAGCATATATACATGCTAAACTTGATACACACCTCATATGTTTCAATTGCACTTGTTTGGCGAAGTAATACTTTAGATATGGAACCATTGGCTGACAGAAGGCACACTGATTTTGAGGTACTTTTGCAGAATGACATTATTTTGGCCAATACATCCTGAGAAGCCAAAAAGCTGGAAATACTGAGTTGAATATTCAGAAACATTATATACTACTATATTCTCAGTGTTGCTACTGAGAAGATAACTAAAGAGCAAAACACATGCTGATCAAAATTAAGACCACACCTCCCCAGCTTCTATCTTGATCACGTGCGATTGCATAGGTCCAAGCGCTGCTGGTTTTGATCCTGCAAGTTGAGATTTGGCAGAAAGAACATACCAAGAAGTACTGTTAAACTCCAAACTACAAATTATTAAACTCCAAATTCAGATTCGGGAATGAGACGTTTTCTGCTGAACGTCATATCAAAGTATGCTAACAGGACAAAATAAATCTTTTCCAAATTGCTAGCTATGAAGAATACACAGTAAAATAAAATGCATCTCATGCACACCAGAGGAAAAGGTTTCTTTATACTAGTATGAAAGATCATAAAGCAGGCAATTATTCAACATTTTGCACAAGAAAATTCAACTGGATGCAGGGGAAAAAAGATTTTGCAGAAGAAAATTAGTTAAACTTAACAAGAATCCAGAAAATCGAGCAGAAATATTCATATGGTATAAAGAATTGAAGCCCTAATTATAAAAGTAAAGCAATGCTAGCTAGTATAAAAGTTCACTTCAGATATATATTTACCCGAACCAACACTTTTCTGCTTGCTTTTAGAACCAGGCGGTCTTCCCCTACCCCTTTTCACAGGCACAGCAGAAACCGCCGCTTCATCTGCCGGAGACGAAAGTCCACCGCCGCCGACCTTAGACGGTGAAGGAGTAGTCATCCCAGGGCTCGCTACATCTGCCGTAGGAGACGAAAGTCCACTGCCGGCGACCTGAGACGTTGAAGGAGCAGTCATCCCAGGGCTCACGGAACTCTCCGTAGCATGCTTCCTCGGCCTTCCGCGTTTCCGCCTTTCAGTTGGACTGACGAGAAGGACACCGGTAGTGCCGAGGGGAGCTGGAAATGATGGCACCGGAGGAGTCGAGGAGGACGTTGGTTGCATCGGCGTACCATTGTCGGCGGCGGAGGGGGAGGGTGATCCCACGTTTTCCATTGATGCTTTGAACTGATTCTTCAACTGATTTTTTTCGCTCTATTTTCAGTACTCCACCAGTAGTACTATGCTCTATTTATAGTTTTGAAAAACAAAAACCGTTTTATTCAGAATCAAACAGATTGGAAATAAATTACATTTAAATCACATTTTTGATAAAACCAAAATTGGTCATAAAGAATAAAAAATCATTTTTATTTACTCCTACCGATTTTCTGTGCTATTTTGTTTTTTTTAAAAATAATTTAATGACTTTCGTTATACTTAACTAATTTTAATGTAATAGCAGTGAATAACTGGTTAATTAGTTAGTTAAAGTTAGTCACAGAATTAGTTAGAGTTGGTTACAAGTCGGTTAAGTTGTTACATAATTAAAATATACATTATTTTGTAAAGATTTATTCATTCAGAGCGCAATGCACATAAATTCTTCTCTTTAGAAACTGTTGCTTTCCTTCTTGTTGCTTATGCTCCTAGTTTCGTCACCGTATAAGAGATTTTTAAAAAAAATATTTTAATATATTCATTTGTATAAATGACCAAGAAATCTTAATTCCTTTGATCATCTATCTAACTTTAATCAATAACAATGTAGAAATATAGTAGTATTCAATAACTTAACTTTAATGTTATGAAAATAAGGGTTTGTAAAGGACCACTAATAGTAAAACCGCATTCTTTTTTTTGATTAAGTGTCTTATACAATTTCTTTTTAGTGATTACAGAGTTTGATTCTTATTTTGAGATTAAAATCAAAAGAGAAAATACAGGTTTATGAATCTACTTATTTTATTTAGTATCTCTTTGTTTTTATTTTATCTAAAGAAGTTCACCATGTTTAAATAGGCGAATCGACTAAACTAGGTAGATTAGAGAGAAATTTTATATTTTGCCTTGCTTTTTTTATTTCTTATTTACGAAATTAGAACTATGTTAAAATAATGTGAAAATTAAATTGTTACTTTGTCATAGAATCCGACTTGGATGTTGATTTGTCATTCACATCAAGCAAGTTAGCATCATATAAATTCGAGGGTTTAAAGTACCCGTTTTGAACATGTTGAGAAAACTAGATGAAATTTTGTGCAGTACGAAATTACAATATGTAAAGAGCTAAGTATAAATATCTTCTAGGTCATTAACATGTACGTTATAATTCTAAGAACTTGTTCCACTCTCCCTCCTTAAAAAATATTGCCCATGTACAGATAATTTAAATCCCAACTAAAGCAAAGTAGCAATGTATGACACGTTTTCTATGGAAAATGATAGCATTATTTGGGTTGATAGTATTTTTAGACCAAAAGATGGAAGGAGGGGTACCTTTGAACCAAAAACAAAGATGGACAATATTTTTAAACCAAAAGGTGAAAGGAACTTATTTTTAAGCCATTTCCAATAGGTTAAAGGTATTCTTGGGCGTTGACCCAAAAAACAAAGGTAACCTGGAATAATGAAATACTAGTAAATAAGGAAAGAAGAAGCTAGCTGTAAAGTAAAAGTAGCTAGAATGTTTCTGTGCATAAAGGATGTCATATTTGTACAAAAAAGGATACAATATGAAAAAGAATTGGTAAGTTGCAGAATCCATTCTCACATCACACAGCTTTTCCAATGGTTGAGGATCAACAAGAGAAGCATTCCTTTTAATTAAAAGGGCAACCTAGCAGCAACTCCAGTATCGCTTCTCTTCCTAGTTTCAAAAAGCTGCAGAATAAACATGTGATTTCTATACCTACTCTTTAATATTAATTGTCATGACATGCATGATGTATCTTTAGAGTTGTTTGAATTAAAAAATTTAACGCATGCTAAACAAGCTATAATTCATCAGGATCAATAATCGATCTCTTGATTGATGTTTGAAAAGGGCAATATTTAAAAGAACAAACGTTGTTGATGGTGCGGGGAAGTGGAACAAGACTCTCCTTGTAATCGAAGATTGACGAGTAGTACAGCTCATTGTTAATAACGACGGGAAGATCTTTAATTTGATCGGTGTGGCAATCGTAGAGACCCATTTTTAATGGTGATCCGTCCATTCTAATGACGACCACTTCACCATTAAAACAAAAACCCATGGGCTGCAGGTCATGAAGTGTTTCAAATGTGTATAGCTTAGCCCAAGATTCTGAAGCACCTCCATAGTCATTTAGAGCCCAAAGTGTGTATGAGAAATAATAACCTGGAGTGTCACTATATGATGAACCAAAAATAGCTAGTCTATTTCCATTCAGTAGTGAAAGCTTCCGGTGGTACGATTTACAAGATTCGTCAATATTAAATGGTGTAGATATCTCTCGAAATTTGTCCTCAATCATATCAAAGGCAATTACAATACTCGGTGGTCCTCCTCCTTCGATTTTATGCCCTAACCAATGAATAGCATCATTTGCATTCAGACAACGATCGACCAAATTGGGTGATGTTATACGGAAAATCAATGTCCATTTCCTTTGCTGGGAGGAATATCATACTATCATTCCACCTTGTGATTCTA